TTGACTTCTAGAAGCATAGATTGTGGTAACATGGACAGCCAATACATTTAATAAACAAACAAACCATAGAGAACTTGAAAAAAAGGAGCTAACATTCTCATGCCTTTGATGTAAATTGCAAAACTTTCAGGAAACTTAGGAAAAAGTGGTAGTAACAATACAGGTAGTTCTTGACTTTGACCATAATTTAGAGTAGAAATTCCACTGCTAAGCAAGGTACTTGTTAAGTGATTATGTCTGAGTTTATGACCTTTTTGGTTATTAGGGGAATTATTGCAGTTGTTAAGTGAATTATGTGGTTGTTAAGTGAATCTAGTTTTCCCATTGACTTTGATCCCTGGAAACCAGCTGGGAAGATGCTACAACCATCATAAATACATGCCTGAATTTTGACCGTGTCACCATGAGAATACTGCATTGGTCATAAGTGCAAGGACTGACTGTAAATCACATTTTTAGTGCTTTAGCTTTGAAAATTCAATAAATGAATAATTGTAAGTTAAGGTCTGTGGAATGAGAAAACTAGGGTTGCAGAATTGGTTTTGCAAGACTCCAGATAACCAGCAGAGGGAAGCAAACCATTAGATTTTCTGGGTTTCTTTCCTGCCCTCTAGTGGTCAATTGGAACTATGAAGCCTAAATCAAATAGCCCTAAAGAAACACATTATCTGGAATTATCCGTTTGCAAATCCCCTTAACTATGGCAGTCACTTTGACCTAATGGCAAACAGAAACAATTGTGCACAATAACAATTCTACTGAATACTTGAAAAACTAGATCAGGCTCAAAGGTGCCTTACATCTGGTATTTGCAGGAAACGTGCTGCACGATTTTTCTTGTTATTTCAAAGTTACACCCTTATTTGCTTTGTTATTGGGTGCCGTTTGAGTTTGTTTTCCTTGAAGGCTGATCATTAATAAATGAGGAAACTAGGATTAACAGGGAAAGTCAAATCAGATTTACGTGACTGGATTTTTAAAAATGCAGAGAAAAAACACGGGAAGGCTTTTTTTTAAAAAAAATCAACATTCTTAAAGGTTAGATTGGGGATCATGGCATGTACTTCCACGACTTTAAATATATTTTAAAATCTCTAACTGGAGAATACTCAGTTACAATTGCACTTAAAAGAAAATGAACTCAGAATAAGAGAATAATAGAGTTGGGAGGAACCTTGGAGATCTTCTAGTCCAATCCTCTGTTCAAGGAAGAACCCTATAAAATTCAAACAAACTGTTGTCCAATCTCTTGTCATAACCTCGAAAGTTGGAGCAGTCACAACTTCTAGAGGCAAGCTGTTCCACGGGTTAATTATTCTCACTGTTAAGAAATATATTCTAAGTTTTAAGTTTGCTTCTCTCCTTGATTAGTGTTAAAAGAAAAAGGACGCTTTTTTGAGGTCTGTAATGTTCACATTTCGGACAGTGGAGGTAGATGGTTTGAGAATGGATTGAAGGAATCCATTTATTGGACCCGTGTCCAATTTTATTATGCTGTTCTTGCACCAATTCATAGGAAGGATCAAAACTACTTCACTGGTTCACCAAGAATATGGTTTACCGCAACCAACATGTCCAGACTGAAGAAATTACTTAGATAAGCAGAGAAATGTTTAAAACTAAAAAAGGAAAATAAGACCAGTTGCCCTGGCATTCTCAGGATATCTGAGAATATTCATTTTAAAAATGAAGAATATTGTTTTTAAGGCTAACTCAAACAGTGTGCAAATGTTTTTGGTGCTCCAGAATTCTGGAGATGGAAAAGAAGCAAAGGAAAGCAAAATTTAAAAAATGAATCAAAATTCTTTCAGGCACAAATTCTGCTATTAGGCAACATCGTTTTGTTCAGACAGAAGCAGATTCACAGGTATGACCACCAATTTTTCAACAATATTAGCAGCAAATACAGGTAGCCCTTGACGTATGACCACAATTGGGACCAGAATTTCTAAGTAAGACGTTTGTTAACCGAGTCACGCCAAAATTTGTGACATTTTTGCCACAGTTGTTAAGCAAATCATGGCAGTTGTTAAGTGGATCACGTGGTCATTTAGCGAATTTAGCTTCCCCCATTGACTTTGCTTTCAGCAAAGCCAGCTGGGAAGGTCACAAATGCAGAACATGTGACCTAGCAATGGGGCAACCATTCTAAATATGTGCCAATTGTCAAGTGCCTGAATTTCACATAACCGGGGAGATGCAGTAATGGTTGTGTGAAGATTGGTGGTAAATCACATTTTTCAGTGCCATTGTCACTTTGCATAGTCACTAAACAAATGATTGACAACCGAGAACTACCTGTACTTTCTCAGTTATCTAATTTATGGCATACATTTTCAGATTGGAGAACTACAGATGAGGGAGTGTCTTTCTCAATCTATCATCTAGCTAGCTAGCTAGCTATCTGTCTTCTATCTATCATCTATCTATTTATCTATCTTCTATCATCTATTTATCTTCTATCTATCCATCCATCCATCCATCCATCCATCCATCCATCTTCTATCCATCCATCCATCCATCCATCCATCCATCCATCCATCTTTTTTTAATAAACCTTTATTAACATTTAAAATCCAAAAATATAACTTAAAATACATCTATAACAAAAATACATCCGTAAGTTATACAATTCAACGTCATTCTGACAGTACATAATTCTTAACTTTGTTCATCTATTCCCGCATATTCCTACTTAATTGACATATTTAAACACATTTCGTATCTTATTTTATTTTATACATTCCTTATTTTTAATTTGTATCCATTGATAGCAATTTTCCCAAGTTAAGTAGTATTCCGAGTCTTCCTCATTATTTAGTTCTAAAGTAAGTTTGTCCATTTCTGCACATTCAAAAATTTTCCAGATTATTGCAGAGTCTGTTGGTATAGTGGACATTTTCCAGGCTTGCGTGAGTACAATTCTTGCTACTGCAGTTATATGAATAATTAAATATTTAATCCTTTTAGGATAATTTCCTTTAATAATCCCCAGAAGAAACAGTTATTTTATTTATTTTATTATTTTTATAGATTTATATACCACCCTACTCCCTAGGGACTCAGGGTGGTGAACAGCCAAGAAATAAAACACACAGATTACAAATTTTATAGTATAAAACAGTATAAAAACCTAATTAAATAAATTTGGCCCAGGACAGATTAAAACACGCCTAAAGTTTTAGACAAATTTAAAATTTACAATTAAAAAGGGAGGTTAGGCCAGGCCAGCCTGTTGGAATAAAAAGGTCTTGAGGGCACAGCAGAATGTGCGTAAATCCGGGATCCTCCATATCCCCGGGGAGAGTTCATTCCAGATAGCAGGTGCCCCCACAGAGAAGGCTCTTCCCCTGGGGGCCGCCAGTTCAGGTTTCAATTCTATCTTCTATCTGATTTCATTTAGCCATTTTTGTATTTTAATCCAGAATTTTTTAACTTCTGGGCAAAGTATCTTCTATCTACCTTCTATCTATTTATCTATTTATCTATTTATCATCTATTTATCTATCTATCTATCTATCTATCTATCTATCTATCTATCTATCTACCTACCTACCTACCTACCTACCTACCTACCCAACTACCTGAATATTATTCTCCACTAAACTGAGTCTACAAATTCTATTTGACCGGGCAATCCATTTTCATCAAAGACTGCTCACACCGCCCACCAAATGGCTGAATGCCAAAAATTAAATACGTTGTGCAAACTTAAATAATATTATTTTTACATCCATTCAAGGTTTATTTGGAACTACTGCATTAGACTCTATTCACCCTGTTCTGGGGACTGGCATCCACTCAAACCGCAATACGGTTTGTTGCATGAACTATTTCAATATTTAAAATAGATTTCTGGCACATTGTAGAGGGTGGCTGGGTTGAGCTGCCTATTTATTTTCAGTTGTGCATCTTCCTTAATAAAATAGTGGGGTGGGAGGCAAATAATATTCTTTTCCAAAATTTTCAAAAGGCAACAAGAAGCTACATCAGTTCTGGCTGGATGGTGAGAAATGGAAGGGTAGGTTCTGACAGAACGGAGGGCGCAGATTTATTTTATTTTATTTATTTTTATTTTATTTTATTTCTATACCGCCCTTCTCCTGCGGGACTCAGGACGGTGTACAGCCAAGATAAAACATTGCATATAAAATTTAAAAACAATTTAAAAAACAATTAAATAATTTCGGCCCAAGATATTAAAAACAACCCAATTAAAACCGAATTCAATTAAAACTGAGAGGATGGGATCAAGCCAGCCCAGCTAGATGGAATAGGTGTGTTTTCAGGGCCCGACGAAAAGTCCGGAGGTCTGATATCGTGCGTATCTCAGGGGGTAGGTCATTAAATAAATTCCAAGTGTCCTCAATGGCTCTCAGAGAATGTGTTAACGACTAGTATTGTCGTTATACTATTTGGCGGATCATCTACGGCCAGCAACAGCTCCCCATCGCCCAATGCGCTCACACAGAGAGGGCCTACTTGGGGTCCCGTCGGCCAAGCAATGCTGGCTGAGGGCTCCTAGAGAGCAAGCCTTCTATGTAGGCGCACCTACCCTCTGGAATCAGCTCCCCTTGGAGCTCCGGGTAGCCCCCGACCTTCGCTCTTTCCGCCGTGACCTTAAAACATGGTTGTTTCACCAGGCTGGCCTGGACTGAATGGGGTTTTAATGGGAATTTTAGTTTCTTTTATTGTTTGAATTTTAATTTGGACTTCTTGTTGCTTATTGCTGTGAGCCGCCCTGAGTCCTTGTGGAGAAAGGGCGGCATATAAGTCCGATAAAATAAATAAATAAATAAATAAATAGATGACTGCAAAGAAATACAATCTTTGCATCCCCACCCACCGACCAACAGAACTGATGAAACTTCTTGGATGAGAAGCGAAACATCTTTTTCTTTCCTCAAGGAAAAAACTGTCGAGCTGAGTTTTGAAAAAGCACCTTTGAGATAATTCCACTATAGAGTGGTTTACCCAGAAAGCGATTGTCAGATACTTACAAAGCTGTGACTCTGGGGATCGAAGCATCTTCTTGGATTCCTGCCATATGGTCTTGCAGTCTTCCTGGAGCTTGTAAAATCTCTCTCTTCTCCAGGAAGTGGACTTGACTTTCAAGAGATGACTTCCCCGCAGCAGGAACTTGAGGTCATGGTCGTCTTGCAAACCTGAGGAGCAACGACGTGACAATTAGCACACAGGTCTTGCTTTCCACATTTGAGGCATGCTAACTCCTGTACAGGTAGTCCTTGACTTACAACCATTTCTTTTAGTGACCATTCAAAATTATAACGGCACTGAAAAAAAGTGACTTTCTATCTATCTATCTATCTATCTATCTATCTATCTATCTATCTATCTATCTATCTAAAGCTAAAACCACCCACGCCGTAATCACGAAATCTCCAGAACCATAAAGCCTACAAACTTGACATTTATCACATATGTTCTTCTTGGCTTCTAGGTGCTCACTAAGAAAGGATTTTTCGAAATGACCATCTGATCATTACTATTTCCTATATTATTAATAACAAGCTCTAGTGCTAAGGAGTTTTACTCCCCCTCCCCACCTGAAAAGAAATCTGTTCCAAATGCAAAACACAAGCAGAGGAGAGGAGTTTCACTTTCAGTTTTACTTTCACAGCAGGAAGCAGCTTTAATACAGAACAGTTGAGCTAAGCCACGCCCAGCCTCCTTCCTGTCTCCTTCTTGCTCACACAGTAAATACTGTTTGAGTTTCCAAACACCCCTCAACTCTCTCACACACTGACAGGATGCTAGCCAGATTAATACCGATGGATGCTGCGACATTCTACTCTCCCTCTGTTCCAACTGCCAGTTGCATTATATTAACACACTCTGATGCTATGGAGTTACACATGCTACATTAAGTTTCAGGCTCTAAGTGTCAATTTATCAAGACTGAGCACATAGTTTTGTAGCGAAGCACATGCGTCCAGCTAGTATACTATAAAGGAGAAAGAACAAACTGAATATTATGACATGGGAATTATTTTATGAATGGTTGGGAAATAAAAATAGAAGTTAGAAATAAATGGAGATCAGTGAAATATAGAAAACATGTTAAGATAGAGAAGCAAACAATATGATTCTTATTAATATTACTATTAAGATTATTATATTTAATATTATTATTACCGTATATTCTTATTAGAAGATATGTTAAGAGGGAGAAAGGAACAGATGTATTATGCTCATTATTATTATTGTAAGATTAGAGAATCCATATCAATGTAATGAATACTGCTGTAAATTTTGATTGTTATTGCACAGAGATAGGAATTGTATCTGTATGATAGGAATTCCCACAATTGTAGGAAGTTATCACCCACCCCTCTCCTAGAAGAATGAAATATTTTAAATATTGAAAAGGGCAAAATATTATGTTTCCATGGATGAGAAATGGAGAAACATGTTTTAAAGACAAAGCAGCTTCCTGCCTCCCTCCCACCTTTGTCAATGGACCATCATCTGCAACACAATAGGACCCATTTAGCAACAGAAACTCACCACATGGCACCTGGGAAGATTACATCAGTCAGCAACACTAGCTAAGACCCCGCCCCCTGGGAGTCTGACAACCAATCAGGATACTCTTCTTGTGCCCCAGGAAGTACCCCGCCCCCTGGGAGTCTGACAACCAATTGGGATACTCTTCTTGTGCCCCAGGAAGTTCAAAACTCAGAGGGGGCATAAAACCAAGGCACACTCAGCATCTCGGTTCCTTTTTCTGTTCAGGAATTCAAACCATGTGACCCTGTCCACCATTAAACCATCTTTCCAAGCAGTCTCCATGTTTCCAGTGTCTTTTTCCCCACTTGGAACTGAACCCAGATGGACATTTTCTTCCAAAAAAATCTTCCAGCAAAATCAACGGGAGTACCAGATTTGCTTAATGACCATTTGATTCACTTAACAAATGCAGCAATTTGCTTAACATCCACGGTTAAAAAAAGATCATAAAATCAAGTATGGCTCACTTAACAAACCGCCTCGCTTAGCAATGGAAATTCCGGTCCCAATCATGATCGTAAATCAAGGACTACCTTGTATCAGGTGCGCTGCTAAGCACGACAGTTTGATAAGTGAATTTTGCATCATTTTACAACCTTTCTTGCCACAGTTAAGGGAATTACTGTGTTAGTAATACAGTTGTTAAGTGAATCTGGCTCCCACATTGACTTTGGTCACAAAAGGGGATCACAGCAACCCAAAGACATTGCAGCCAGAGGTAGTATTCAGCAGATTCATATAGTTCGGGCGAATCAGTAGCAGCGACTGCTGGTGCCCGCCCATCCACCCTGACGTAATGCCGTCCTATTTAGCTACATTTTCAAGGTTGCCCACATGTGCGGAAGGCGTGCACATGTGCGAAGCGAGTGCACGCAGGGCAAACCGGTGGTAAGAATTCGTGAAACCAACTGCTGATTGCAATCATCATAAATGTGACTCAGTTGCCAAGCGGCGGGATTTTGATCACATGACCATGGGGATGCTGCAATGGCTGCTAAGTCCTAAGTCACATTTTCCAGTGCTGTCGTAACTTCAAATGGTCACTAAACGAACTGTTGCAAGTCAAGGACCACCTGCAGTAAATAGCTTCTGTGTTTCTCCTGAAGAAAATACATATGCATGACTTCATCCACAAGATGCTGAGCTCAACTCAAAAAAATAATAATAATTACCTTTACTGAATGAGTGGCAGAGTCAGAACAAAGCAATGCATCATTCATCTAATTTTACCCTGGAACTAATTCTATCTAGCTGACGTTACTGTACTGCTACTGTAGTATGTATATAATTATTTCATCACTGTTGACATTAAGGGTGTCATTTGGTGACATCTCTCTTAAGGCATTTATGAGTTGCATTTAAAGCTTTTCAGGATCACATGTTTGGCTCCACCCCTCCACAGACTTTGGACTGCAATACTGCCATTCCTGGTGATTTAATCGAGTTGGAAGGCACCTTGGAGGTCTTCTAGTCCAACCCCCTGCTCAGGCAGGAAACCCTATACTAGGTCCTAACCGGAAGCCCCCGTTCAATTCTGGTGCCGACCGGAAGTTCGTTCCCCCCATCATAGTCTCCTCCTAGCGTGGCGTCTTTTTCCTCTGCTGGCCGGAAGTCCGATTCCCACACCATAGAGTCTCCTCCTAGCACAGTGTCCTTTTATCTCTGCCGACTGGAAGTCGGTACCCCCACGAAAGAGTCTCCTCCTAGTGCGGCATCCTTTTTCCTCTACCTACCCTAACTGAAAGCTCTATCAATTGTGGAGCCGACCAGCAACAGGGAGCCACAGCAGAGGCACGAAAGAGCCACATGTGGCTCCAGAGCCGTGGGTTGCTGATCCCTGCCCTATACCATATCAGACAAATGGCTGTCCAATTTCTTTTTAAAAGCCTCCAGTGATGAAACACCCATAGTTTCTGAAGGCATTTCACTGGTTAATTGTTCTCACTAGCAGGATATTTCTCCTTACTTCTAGGTTGCTTCTCTTCTTGATTGGTTTCCATCCATTGCTTCTTGTTCTGCCTTCAAGTGCTTTGGAGAATAGGTGGACCCCCACTCTTCCTTGTAGCAGCCCCTCAAATATTGGAAGACTGCTATCAAGTCACCCCTTGTCCTTCTTTCATTAAACTAGACATACCAAAATTCCTGCAACCATTCTTCATATGTTTAAGCCTCCAGTCCCCTAATCATCTTCGTTGCTCTTCTCTGCACTCTTTCTAGAGTCTCCACATCTTTTTTACATCGTGGCGACCAAAACTGGATGCAGTACTCTAGGTGTGGTCTTACTAAGGCTTTATAAAATGGCATTAACACTTCACGTGGTCTTGATTCTATCCCTCTGTTAATGCAGCCTAGCATTCCAGAGTCTCTCTGAGCCTTTCGATTGCAAATACACTGCCTTTCCACATTATCGGAGTTTGATAGCATTTTCCACTGATCCTTGAGTACAGAAAACTGCAGAAAACTAGACTTTATACAGTAGTCTTTGACTTACAACCATTGCTTTCCAACAATTCAAAGTTATGACATACCTGCCTGGGGGTACTTACTTATGACCTAGATTTAAAGTTCTGATGGTCACCCCCACCTCCTGCAGTCATATGATCACACTTCAGGCACTTGGCAACTGGCCCGCATTTACAACCTTTCTTGCCATGGTTGTTAAGTGAATCACTGCAATGGTTAAGTGGTAAGGTAGTGTTAGGTGAATCTGGCTTCCCCATTGACTTTGCTTGTCACAAGAAGGTCACAAGAGCGGATCACATGACCCCGGGAGACTGCAACAGTCATAAATATGAGTCAATTGCCAGGAGTCTGAATTTTGATCACATGACCATGGGAATGCTGTCATGATTGTTTGAAAAATGACCGTAAGACACTTTCTTCATGCAGTTGTAACTTCTAACGGTCATTAAGCAAAAGGTTGTAAGTTGAGGACCTCCTGTAAAGATGGGGGGGGGGAGAGATTATTTCCAGACTTTTAATATTCTGCTGGGGTAACCTTATGTTGGCTCACTGCATGAACCCCGCTCGCAACCAGACAGCAGCAATGGGAAGGGGGAAGGAAGGCATTGGAATGAAAGGAATGTATAGGGGAGGGTAAAGGAATGCAAGTGTGCCAACCTGAAGCCTGAGACAGATCCAAGGTCATTGGCTGGAAAAGTCTGAGGTGGAGAGACCATTCCCAAAACAACACAAGTGTAACCGATTGTCTAGACAATGGACAGTGGGAGGAAAAGAGTATGTTTTCCTATGCTGTTTGCGCGCAAAAATGTTAGAATTGGCTTTTCCGTTTTTGCACCCACAAAATTTTCAGTAGTTATACTCTTAGTAAAAGATGTCCCTTTGCTGTCTCAACCAGTGGGATGGTTGACATCTTAAAACAAATTTAAATGAATAAAATATAATTACTTCATCTCATCATGCTTCTTGTCAGGATTACCTCGCACGACTGACAGGATGCCAACATTGTGCAGATAGGGACCTGTTACCCGAGTTCTTTGTTTTGCTTCTTGCTGTTCAGGGGTAGACTCTTCCTGACTATGGAGGTTTGAGGGTCCTTAGTGCTGACTTAAGTTTGTTTTCTTGCAGACATTTCATTTCCCAAATTAGGTAATAACATCAGGGGCTGCAGTAA